CTTCTAAACTGTAAAGTATTCATTTGATATAGTCATTACATATAGATCAATTCTCCATAAATAATGCATAATTAGAGCTAGGTGAAATCTGTTAACCTCTCTAATTAGATCTTTATCCTTGAGTACCATTGATTATCTAATGGACAGTGATTCATAAAATAAATTCATGAATGAGAGCTCCTACTAGTCTAAGTATCGAATCGACCTTCAAGAGAATTATTTATCTTCTTCTTTCTCAAGAAGGAATGGATTCCATCTTGTATAATAACATTCATGGCTACTCACTTCATCATGTCTCTAAAATACAAGAAATAGGATTCAACATCTCGAAATCCGTACCGAGTAAATCAAAATACATAAATCCATAAATAGGAGTCTGCTAATGACTCAAGATTAAGATCATTCTATATATGACTATCGGTAGACTCAGTTAGAATTTCTATACTTAACAGAAATGATCAGAAATTCATATTGTGTATGTGTCACGGTGCCACACAATCTCATTATGCATAATACACTCATTCAATATCTCACTATATTAACAGTGCGGATAATACCAATCCATTCTAAATGGGAATGACATGTATTAATAATGTTTTAATTAAATATTCTGAACTTTAATTAAATTCATTACGAATATCATTTGATTATTATCCTTAAATATTATCATCTCGCATATAACATTTATATACAATATTTAAGGTTACATAAATAATCATGGAATTTTCACTGATATTCATAAAATATTCATTAATATATGCACATAAAATAATAAATAAACTCTTTTATTAAATAAATAATAATCTTATTACATCTCATACTTCAAAGACATCATTCCCAATAGCTTTAGTGGGCCATGTCTAACATGGTATGAGCATGGACCTAGTTAATTCTTAGCTAGATTGACACAATGTGACATGATTGACATATGTATTCTAATATTTGGAAAATATTTTCTTAAGCTGCAAAATAATGAAAATTATAGGTATGAAAAACAACCACAGTCGATAGGAGACGCATGTTCTTTTTACTAACTCAAATCACAACTCAAATTTTTTACTACAGTATTTTCTCTCACAAATTTAAATTCAAATTTTTTACTACAGTATTTTACCTCACATACTAAACTCACGTCGTATAAATTCTACATGTTTTTTATTAGTGCTTTGGATTTAGATAATAATTCAGAAGCTCTTAAAAATAATCTAAATAGTAGGTATATTTGACTTTGAGTTATCTTTAAGAAATAAGTAAATAGAAGGAAAAGAAGAAAAGAAGGAATTGAAATACTCCCGCTCTTTGGAGGCTAGGCTTTTCATATACATTTGTCATACGTTGTCTAATCATTGTTGGCTAGGCTCTCTCTCTCTCTCTCTCTCTCTCTCTCTCTCTCTCTCTCTAAGGCCTTTGCTAATCTATTTGAATCATTGATGAATCTACACCATTCTCCACTATGTATAATGTGAACTTAACTCCAGGTTGAACGCCCCGGGCCCTCCATATACTTTGGTTTCTATTTATTCGTTTATTTTAATAACAAGTGAACGTCTTTGATTAATTTGCACACCTCTTTGAATAATCTTGCTTTCTTATCTACAACTTTGTTCTATATGGTCAAGTGGCTTTGAACTAAAAAGAATTGTTCTCTCATTTTTCTTCTTCTTCTCTTTTTTTTTTTTTTCCCCACGAGCATCTTCAATTTACAATTCTTTATTCTTGCTTAAAGCAAAAAAAAAAAGGTACATGTAGGAGATGAAATGAAACTTTTTTGCTTTTGTTTGTAGCGTTTGGAGCTTTGTCAACATCCATATATTGGCCCCCTAATTTCTTTAGTAACAAAAAAGGCTTTATGAAACCTTTCACACTTTAAATTACATGTTAATCCTCTTATAACAATTTTTAACCTTCGTTTGCTTCTAGTTGTTGCATGCATGGTAATGTCCAAACCATTTTATGTATGTATTTTTAAAGTTGTTCAAAAAGGTAGAATTTGTTCTAATATATATGGATCGAAGTAATTCCAATTTTGCAATGTTGCCTGTACAAATTAAATCCTATCTCAATTAGGAACTAGTTCATTATCGGTGCATATTTGCAGGTAATATTTACAATGTTTCACTACACTTGATCACTTCCTAAAATAAATAATAATAATAAATAATTAATTAAATTAGTAATAGTAATAACAAGAATAAGAATAATAATTATATGAATAATAATAATAATAAAAAGAATAATAAAGAATCGCTATATATTTTTCCTTTTCAAGCTCACTTACCATGTCAAAAGGAATTTTTATTCTTTCAAAACGACACATTCTTCTTGTTTCGTATCCTTTTCCGTTCAATTTTCATGGATGTTAGACATTAATGAATATATACATATACATATACATATATATATGTGTTTGTGTGTATTTGATTGGAACAATTAGGGATATTCAAGTAAGCCTATGGTAGCATCCGACAAAATTGTTGATAAATCATTCAATTCTGTTACGAAGAAAGAAATAATAATTAAAACGTTGTCACTTATCATGACCTCTTATCGTGACAAATCACCCATACACATATTTATATATTTATAGTCACCTTCAGATTTTTTTTTTTTTTAATTGTAAGTGGTGGTGGGGTCATACGGTGTGATTACATGATTTTGGGTGTGATAACGTAATCTTTCAAAATTCTTATAGTTTCTGAAATATTAGATTTTAAAGTGGTGAAAGCATGGGTTTTACTATTTCTAACATTTATTAATTCCCACATACATGCATATAATATATATATATATATAGATGTAGGTCCCTCTTAGATACAATGAAACAAATAAATAAATGTAATTGTCTTTTTCAGATCACCAAAAGAAGGATAAAGAAAGGGAACAATCAAATGTGAGATCTGTAGCCTTAGAAGCCATTCAAATATTCTCACCACATCCTTTCTTTTTCTTTTTCTTTTTCCTTTTAGGTGATGGGGGTAGATAGATCTCACAGAGAAACCCACATAATTTTTTAAAGTTTTTTTTTTCTCCCCTTTGAAATGGTCCCTTACCATTATCAAACACACAAAAACAAAAAAAACAAAAAAAAATCTTTATCCATTGAAGAAAAGAAAAACAAAAAACTATTTTTCTTCGGTAGGAGTTTTTTTTTTTTTTTTTTTTTCTCCCTAAGAAGAAAACGACTGCAAGCCAAAAGAAAAGCAGCAACGTGAGGATAAATTGTGTTTCATTTTTTTTGACGGTAGAGAAAGTTAGAAATCTTTTTTGTCCAACAAAATTTCATAATTAGTAAAAACGATTATTTGAGTGAAATTAATTTTGGTTATTTTCATTATATTATCAGCCCTGACGGGAACGAGATGATACTAACAACCTTTTGATACATTTTAAGAGTACAATAGACTAAATTTGAAGAAAACTACTTAAGAACATTACTGATATGAAACACCACATTAATAAAAAGTAGAACTCATTTTCAATTAGTGAAACACCACATTAAGAGCTTTTTACTGTAGCAAAAAAGTTAGATGTGATTGTTTATGAGAGCTTTTTATTATAAAAAAACTCAAATTCTAAACTCGAATCAACAAAGTGAACAGGACCTTAACATTGTTCAAATTTAAAATACTTTAAAATGAGAGCTTAAGTTTAGAGAAACATAAAACAAGAGTCATTCATTCATGGATTTACTTTATAAATTAAAAGGAAATTTCTTTTCTGGTTTTTTTAAAAAAATAAAATATTAATAATTTTTTATTTTTTAACTATTAAATTTACATCAAAATCTTTTTATTCTACGTATATTTTTTAATTTAATATAATTTTAATCAAATCAAACCGTTAAAAACTATTACCGATAACCCGACTTAGGAGAAAAAATTCCCAAGTTAAATTTGAACCACTAAAGCTAAACAGTAATACTCAGAGTAGGTGAGGACAGAAGTGGGGTGAAGTCATAGAAATTTCCGTTCTTTTTTATCTTTTTTTTTTTTTTTTTTTGCTGAATTTTTTTTTCTTTTATCAATTTGATAGTTAGAAGTGATAGCACCGCTGGCCTTTCTTATAAAAAAGAACAATAAATAATATATTGACACACAATATATGCAAAAGTGAAGCAGAAGAAGATGGGAACACGTGTAGAGACGAGAGGATGTACAAAAGTCATCCTTATAACCACGGGCGAGATTGTATTGTCAAAAGGGACAGGTCCTACAGAGAGCAGGTTAACTGGGACCATATATGAGGGGCAAATATGGAAACATAAAGTAGATATATCTGATGGGAAGACATGAGATATTAAATTATTAATTTAATCCCATGACTAAAGCAAAATGATTTTTCTATATTAAAAGAACACATAATTAATATCAAAGTAATATACAAAAAGATAAAGTTAGATATCTACAAAGATGAACATGAGCCACGTGTAATATACTGACAATAATGAGGCTTGCCCTTTTCAACAACCAACTTTTGTCAATGAGTAGCGGTGGTATTAACTATTTGGGCAAATTGTAGAATTATAACATCCAAAGACAATGGAATTCTTTTTTTTTTTTTTTTTTTTTTTTTTTTTTTTTTTTTTGTGTGTGTGTGAGTGTTTATATATAAAGCCAAAATGGGGTTTGTACAATTTGAACTTCCTTAGGCCCTTATTCATCCACCTCATCACTTTTTTTTTCCTGGCACAAACAATTATCTGCTCTCTTTTTCATCACCAAAACAGAAGGGGAAAGAGAAGAGAACCTCATCATCTTTTCTTTTACTTTGGCAAAATGACATTCACTCAATTCTGGACAGTATTTCCATTTGGAATAAAGTTAAGGCGGACCCCACATGACTGAAAGCAATAACTTCTTCCTATCCTACTTTTTTTTATTATTTATTATTATTTTATCTTCCAGTCTCTTGAAAATAATAAAAATGCCATTCAACCAACAGATTCACAAAGCCAAGCTATGAAATGAAAGCAAGTACTGAAAGATATTTAAAGCAAGAAATTGAGAAGAGGGTTGCTTTTATATGTGCCTAGACATATATACACATACACCATTCCCCCTCCATTGCATATAATATATATATATATATAGACACATACGTCAAAAGATCATTGTTTAACCGCTTCTTTTCAGGAAAAATTAGACCTCCATAGGGGGGGAAAAAACGAAAATTATAATTGAGAAAAAAGGAAAAAGGAGAAAAAGAAAAGAAAAGAAAAGAAAACCTCCGTTACAGCCCCAAAAGAAAGAAAGGTGGGTCTTTGCTCTCCCTCTTCCATCTTTTTTTCCTACCATTCTTGCAACATCTTTCACAAACAAAAAAACATTTTGACCAACTTGCCCATCCTCTTCTCCCCATCGTACCAATGAAATTACAATTAGACTTTCACCCATCAACCCTGTCAGATTATAAACGCAAAAGGTGTACATAGATAAATACACGTTTCCCAAAGCACATTCCACAGGATATTTTTGCCAGTGCCAAAATTGTGGCTTCTCAAAAGCTCCGATTTTCCCTTCTCTTTGATCCTGTTTTTCCTTCAGAAATGCGCAATCTCTCATTTCTTCATTTCTTCTCAGGCTGCCAGAAGTCATGCAAATTGTCATTTCCTGGGCAACAAACCGTCACTCCCTTCAAAATTTTGACAATCCCCATTTCAAACCAAAATTCTTTTCCAACCCTTTCCCTTTTTTTTTTTTTTTTTTTTTTTTTTTTTTTTTTCTGTTCTGTATTTTGTAATGGGGTTGCAACAAAAAGCACTAATTTGACATCATTCTACTCACCAGCAGGTTGTTTCTGCTCGGCTGGTTTCACCTGAACCGCGGCGGGAACAGCATGAACGTAAGAGAACCCAGCAGGCAAGAGCTGATGAGGGTTCCCGGACTGGGCGGCAGCGGCAGCAGCAAATTGCGCGGGATGCATAAGAGCCTGCGACGGCAAGCCTTTCATGTTGCTGGCAGCGGCTGCGGCAGCCGCCTTGGCGGGATCGGACGTGCTAGTGTTGGATAAAGTCACGGAAGGGCACAGCGACAACATCCCACTTGAGGACGTCCCAGATGTGCTCTGCGACTGCTGCTGTTGCTCAGGCCGACGCCTATGAGAATAGTAAGTGCTCGACGCTGCTGCTGTAGTCGCAGTTGGGCTATTTGAATGTGGATTTTGAGGAATGTAAGACGAGAAGAACAATTGTGCTTGCTGCAGTGATTGCTTGGATAACTGCTGCTGCTGTTGTGGTAACTGAGCCTTAGTCCCGGCACTCGAAGATGTAATATGGGGATTGCCTAGGATCGACGGGACATTTTTCCCACCGACCGGAGATGACTTCATGCTGGGGACTGAAGGCGAGTTCTTGGCCTGCTGAGATGACAATGAAGAGGCTTGGCCAACTTTGTTCCCTGTGGATGTGGAAGTAGTTGTCCTGGGGCTCCCACCAGCACTCTTTGACACGGAAGAAGTCGTGGGGGACCCCACCATTATAGGAGGAGATGGGGACTGGTTGCTACTTGCGGGCTGTAACCCTTGAGATTGTGATGACGGTTTCGGATTGGCTGAAAAAGATATTTGCGTGTGCGTCTGTTGCGAGCGGCCCTGCTGTTGAGAGAGATTTTTGAGGGACGATGACGTTGATGAGGCCATGGATGGAGAAGGGACTTGAGAAGTGTTTGACCTCGCAGGGTTCTTCCACTGAGGAGACTGAGCTGGACTACTACTGCTATGGACGAGGTTTTGTTGGAATGTGGATAGAGCATTTGGGAACTTAGCGGCCATTGATGACGGAAGGTGATCGGCATAAACATTGCCGTTACTTGTCGGCGGCATTTTTGTTCTGGCTGCAGCTGCAAGCTGCTGCTGTTGTTGCTGCTGTTGTTGCTGCTGTTGTTGCTTCTGAAGCTGAATCATCTGTTGCTGCTGCTGCTGCTGATTCCGCTGCAGTTGCTGCTGGGCATTGGAAGCATTTACACTGCTGATGGCAGCAGGCATGACAGAACCGGAAGGTCGCTGTTGAGTGGAGCTGAGATTAAGAGTTCTCGCCGAACTATCAACTACTGTGGTTCCGGGTATCGTAGACCCAGATGCATCAGACAAATCAGGCCTGGAGAAAGCAATAGAATGCCCTACACCAGATGAACCCTTCACTGTCTTTCTTTCTTCTTCCAAATTATTGGAATCGCCTCCAGTTTTCCCATCCTCGGGACCACGATAATTTTTCTTCTGTTGTGCCGCCGCTTGTGCAGCGGCAGCTGCGGCGGCCATGTATTGATAGCCTTGCCTGACATCTGGGAAAATTGCTTGCTGCTGTGCTAATGATGAAATGTCAAGACCAGGAGCAGTGGTAGCGCCATTGATGGAAGCAAAAGACATGGCAAAAGCTTGAGACGGGTCTACTCCACTTTTTGAGCCATGCTGCTGCTGTTGCTTCTTCTCACCATTACTTCCACCAGCACAATTTGCACCACCTGCTGTCCCAATCGATGCAGGCGTCATCAAAGCAAAGTTCGGTGCGTGTATTGGCATTGCAAAATTCTGGCCATAAATGCTCATGCTTGGACGCGATACACGACTATCAGCAGTTGATGGGCTATCTTCGCTGCCCATCTCAGACTCAAGTTGGCGAGCTGGATGAGAGAGATGTTGCCGCTGCTGCAGCTGTAATGGCTGTGAAGGCTGGTTTTTCGAGGTGGGAAAGCCCTGCAAGCTTCCACCGCCACCATTTACATTGTTGCCAGCATGTGGCGACCTCTGTTGCTGGTTATGCAGGTGTTTTTGAGACGATGAAGAGCTGCTAGACATACTGGGGTTCTGGTGGCCTTGCTGGCTTTGCTGGGAATGAGAGGGTGGTTGCTGCTGCTGAAGCTGAGGATGGAAAGTAGAATAGAATGACCCGTTAAAGAAAGGCATTGCCTGAGGATGTGTTCCTCTATAAGCCGGTGGTGCCCCAACATGTGCAGGTATAGGAAATGAATATGCATTGATCGCCAAATACTGAGGAGCTTCATTTCCAGGCATATTTGGGTAGTTAAAAGTCATTGCCGGAGCTGCCGCTGCAGCTGTCGCAGAGGCAGTAACCGAGGCCGAATTAGGTGCGGTTGAGGTAGTTGCGTTGCCAGCGGCTGGAGGAGACTTCACAGACCCGGGCCTAACAGAAGCAGCAGCAACTGCCTGTTGCTGGCTCAAAGGAAAGATGATAGCAGGGCCTTGCTGAAATATTGAAAAACAAGAACCCACATAAAGTCAAAATCTATCCCAACCACCCAAGGAAGAAAAAGACAAAAGTTTGTGTAAAGCATACCAATATATTACTAGGTGCTCCAGGAGGTAGAGCTTGTTGAACCAAAATCTGCTTCCTCTGAGCAGAATCCACGACGTTGGCTGCCTGGGAAGCTTTGTCCTTGCCAGTATGACCAGGAAACATGGCGAGACCTTGACCTTTGTCCTGAACAGAGTTCACCCCTCCTCGGCCAGGAATGTTAGCATGCAAATCTGTGGAGGGCATAACGTTAAGATTGCAGGGCTTAGCGCCATAAAGAGATCCAGATCCAGCTGCTGCCGCTGCGGGCCAGAAGGAATTCATCCTCGCAATCTGTTGGTGATAGCAAATGCTCCGCGCAATGTAGCAATGCGTCGCGCACCTCTTCGGCCGAGGTTGGGTGAAGAGATAAGGTGGTGGCTGCAAAGGATGGAAATTTCATCAGGAAAATTACTCATAACCGCTTAAGTGAGAATCTTTGGGAAGAAGAGAGGCAGATGAGTTTTCTGAGAAAATATTCAACATGACGTAGACACGTACTTGTATAGCAGCGGAAGAAACGGCAGTCCCGTCCATGGATACAACTCCTTGTAAAGGTGCCATATATCTGCTGAGAACAGCATAGTCATTTTCCCAGTAGAGAAGCCAAGTTATGACGCCAAGAAAAAAGAAGAAAAACACAAGAAAATTTTCCGACCGTACCCCATATGAGGAAGCGCACCAGGCCATCCAGGCATAGACATTGGCAAAGGTAAAGCACCAGATTGAGCTAAAACAAAAGGAGAAGGAAATAAGATCTGAAGAATCAGAGAAAGAGCAAAAACCCAATTGGGTAGAAAGGAAAAACAAGATGAAGAGCTACCAGATTTTTCATTATTATTCTGTTGTTGTTGGTGGTGTTGTTGCCTAGGTGGGAGAATATGCTGGTGAAGCTTGTTTCCGCTAACGCCAACAGAGCTGCTATCTCTAGCATCAGACTTCTCCAATTCAACCTGCAGATCAACATTCCTCTCCTTTCCAACAGCTGGCTTCTTGGATTCAGCTTCTTCAACTGGTATTGTAGTAGTAGTAGTAGTAGCTTTCGTCTTCTCAGGTTCCACATTTGCAGACTCTTCTCTACCGATTTTCAATGCCTTGGCATCTTCTTTAATCACAGGCTTTATTTCCTGCAGTTAAAGAAAGAAGCAGAGTATGAGAGAAGAGAGAGAGAGGGCCCAATTTTTCATTTTCCATTTTCCATTTTTCATCGTCTTTATTATAAGGCAGCAAACATCATTTATCATACTGAAACAGTAAACGCTAAATGGGGGAAGCTAATCTAGGCAAGTGGCAGACGGGGTGGGCCCACACACCGTTTCTGTATCTATTGCCATAGGTTTAGCATCTACAGCCACAAAATCAATCTCACTATCTCTTTCTGGAGACGATCTAGACGGAGGAGGGGCCTGCAACAAAAAAAAAAAAAAAGGAAAGGGCAAAAAAGAACCAAAAAATAATAATAATAAGAGCATTGAATTTTTGGACTCGGAAAAATACAAGAAAAAAAGATGAAGAGAAATTTTCCAAGAGAACAAGATCCAAACCATCAGATCTATCTGGAACTTTTCTTCTCGCTGGTTCTCAATCCCTGAGATTGCTGAATTCCTGGAAAGATAAAGAAAAACCCCAAGAGAAAATTAGAAGGAAGATTGAAAGACCAATCTCGAAAAACTAATTTTTTGGGATAAAAAAGAATTTTCATTTTTTCTTTTATGCTTACGATTTAGTAGTAGCTGTCACAATCTCATGCTTATCATCCAATCTAAGCCCAGGAGATTCCTTTTTGGGCGATTGAGGCTCATCCTTGGTAAGTCCCATATCCCGAGACTCCGATTTCTCGGCGACGGGCTTTGAATCTGAGACAAGGTTATTCTCTACCTTCATTGGCTCGGGCTGAGCCTCCATCGTCGGTGCCTGTACGGCGTGGGATTGAGCAGTATCGGAGGCGATTCCGCCATTTTCAGCGGCAGATCCTGCGATTTTCTCCAAAGTACCCGAAGAAGCCTCGGTTTTCGCCGGCTGATCGGCCAGGACCTTGGCTGCAGACGAAATGGGATTGCTCTGAGCCGTTAAAAGTGAAGACTTGGCCTCTTCATACTTGGCGTCATACTTCACCAGTCGCGGTTTCTTCCTCTTGGGTGCTACGAAATTTGGTAGAAAAGAAAACAGAACATCTTATATCAGCAAATTGTTAACATCACAGAAAGGCACGAAAGACCCAAGTTGGAAGTACTCTGTTTGCTCACCGAGAAACCAGGAGAAAGGGTCGGAATCTGACACCCAAGTCCAGAGTTCATTATCCTTTCCCACAGTTTCTCAGAGAAACCAGACCGAGCACGGAGATAGAGAAGAAGAAACGAAGAAAATTGAGCTCTTCGCAGAGCTGAAGACAAGAAACCCACCAACACACAAAGCCCAGGCGGGTTCGCCAGCAGGCTGAGAAGAACGCGAAGAGGACTGAGGAACGCCGTATTGTGAGCTTGAGATCGGAGATGAGACTCTGGATTTGGCATCACCGGAGGATTTGTTCGTATCGCTGGTGGATTTGTTATTGGTTTCTCTAGATTCAAGCTTAATTGAATCATTTGCCATGATTTCTTGCTTCGACGGTCCCTGGGGCTGCCTCATCATCCCGTACAACACCTCGGCGATCTCTATCTCGATCTCGTCCTGAGCCGACGAAGACGACTTCAACGGCATCTTAGGCTGCCGGAGTTTGGGTCCGTTGGGCTTCTACAACAGCAGAGAACTCGTCAGTAAATCATCGGAGCACAACTCTTTCGGGAAAGAGATTTAACTGAAAACTAGAATTGAGAGAGAAGCAAGACCCACCAGCTTCTTCCGAACCGAAGCATTGGAAGAAGACGGTGAGACCGGAGCTTGCGACGCCGTCGGTGGTGCCGACGAGAGGCTCGGTCGGACCGGCGACGTCGAAGTCTGTCGGTGAATTTGCTCCCCGACAATCCCAATCCCTGAAGAACTCCATTCATGCGACCTCTTTGTAGAAGCTGAAGAAGGAAAAAAATAGGAGAGGAAAAATCAGAATACTCAAAATCAACCAAATCTAGCGAAAGAGAAAAAAAACTTTTTTTCAATCTCCACCGCCGCTCTACCTGACCGTGCTTTCCTCGGCACCAAAACGCCAATCATCTCATCGGCGGCCTTCAACGTCGGCGCTGCTCTAAAATTCTTCGCCGGCGGGAAGCTCTTCCGCTGATGATTCAGAAAAGAAGACGAAGACGACAACGACGCCGCCGCCGTCGGGTTCGGCGGAGGAAGCATCCTTACGGAGCCACTTCCCACACCAACGCCACCTCCGCCGTCTTCGTCCTCGTCCTCTTCCTCGTCGTTCACGCTCTCCTCGGAGCTGTCGTCTCCACCATCCTCTCTGTTCCCGTGCATCAATCTATCGCCTCTACGTCTCTTGTTCCGGCTGAGCCGATCTCTGTCGCGGTCTCGGTCCCGGTCGCGGTCCCGCTCTCGATCCCGATCGCGATCTCGATCCTTCTTCCCGCTTCCTCGATCCCTCAGCCTCGCCGTCTCTTGTAACTCAATCGCTCCATCTTCCTCTGCAATAAAGAAAAAAAAATTAGAATCAACGAAAAAGAAAGTCGCTCAAAAGCTAGGTTTTTTGCTCAACGCTTAGATCTGGTGAAATTCCCAACCTGGAGAATCTCTGAGACTGCTGGTTCTGTGTCTTCTTCTCGGCAAGCCATTTGTCGCCGCCATGGTTGCTCTCCTCGCTTCTCGATTCCTATCCATCTCTCCTGTTATTTTCTCTCACCAAATCGGCTGTACCCAGATGACTAATCTCATCTCTCATCACCGGAAACCTAACATGATTCGCCGGAAATGGAACCGCCGCCACCGGAATTCGCAGGGTCTGACCTCTATATATATATGTATATAGGCGGAAAACTGATTCAACAGTTTTGAAGATCTTCTTCACTGGCCAAAAAAATCCTCGCTTTCACTTATCTTCTTCTCCTTTCTTCTCTCTCTCTCTCTCTCTCTCTCTCTCTCTATCTGTGCTCCTCGAGTCCCCTTTGCTCTCTCTCTTTCTCTCTCTCTCTCTCTCTCTGTCTTCCTTTTGTGTTCTCATCTCATCATCTTTTCGCTATTTCACTATCAGCGAAACCCACTCCAAACCCTCACGGACGGCTACGATCTAGACCCATAATACATCTTTCAATCTGAACCGTGACCTTCACACAGATCCAGCGGCTGCCGTTCTCTTCAACCGACATGGCAACATCTGGACCGTTAATCCATCGCTCTAGACGATCTCAACTTTTTCTGCCAGTACCGCCACGTGTCAGCATTTTTCTTCTCCAACAAGCTTCCATGTTTACTCACTACCGATTTGGTACTATATATAATATTATATAATAAGAATAGTAAAATAATATAATGATACATCCAACAGATAAATAATTTAATACTGGCAAATGTTATTTAATTCTTTGTTTAACATTTTCCCTCTGAGTGAGGACACTGTAGTCCACGAATCCATAATCAATATTTTAACGAACAAAAATAAAGTTTTAGGCAGAGACGTGGGTGACCGGCTATACCCGGTTGTAGAGACCTTGGTAAAAGCAACATGACGATCGCAAGGAATCTAGGTGACCGCGGAAAATATCATTTCAACCGGTCAAATTCATTATTTCCATTCCACGTTTTGTATTCCAATTTTTCCCCTTTTTATTTTATTTTATCTTTTCCAAAATTCCGATTGTAAATTAAAAACGATTAACGAAACAAACCCATTTTAAGACATGTGATAGTTTTTTACTGTAATAAAAAAATTAAATATAATTATTTATGAGAATTTTTTTATTATAATAAAACTCAAATTAATAAAATAAACGGAACTTATTTATTTTACATATTCAAATTTTATTACAATAAAAAAATTTTAAAAATAATTACATTTAATTTTTTTACAATAATAAAAAATAAACTCATATCTTAACTTAAATTAAAATTTTAAATTAAAGAATTAAACGCTACCCTTAATATTCTCATAATTAGAGTGGTGGGCCCAGGTGCAAAGTATCAAAATAAAGAAATCCAACGAACCAGATCTTCCCCTCACCAGTAACACGAACTCAACGAGCCGTCGGATAACTCTCCGACGTGGAGATAGGGTCTTTTCAGGACAAAATTTCCGAACCCACCTGGCACCGAACCAGGGAGGCTCGTGCGCGTTGATGAGCGCGCCTTCATCGGGACCGTCAGTAGTTGTTGATCTGACGGTTAAGAAGAGCGCAGACGCGGGGAGGAAACTCGAGTCGTGGTCACGGAACTTCCGAGAAGTGTGGGTCCCGAAATTTGCTGCCGATCTAGAAATTATTTTCTCGCGTTGGCCTATTGTCACGTTCGCGGGATGTGGCACCTTAGGGTGACGTGTACTGGGTCCCACCAAATTAAAAAATAATAAAAATAAAACCACACCAAAAAGCGAACTAACCTACTCGACCGGTCAAATTTTACAGCGCAGTTAAAAACAAAAAATTAAATAAAAAAGAAAAATATTACTAAAAATAAATAAATAAATAAAACTATTATTAGAAATAATTAAAAATAAATAAAGCGCACAACAGCATAAGAATAAAAAAACAGGGCCCTTCAGCTTTCGCGCTTTTACTCCACGCGCTCGTGGCCGGGTTCACATTAAGTAATAAAGAAAATATTGGATATCAGATAGCAAAAAAGAAAAATATGGATATATTAATTATTTATAGATAAATTATACTCTCTAATTATAAATAAACATTTGTACAGCGTGGCAGTGTCTTTTTCGCTACGTGTCGTCTTCATCTGACGTGGACACGTAGAGTACTGTTTCGTGCTGATTCGTCGCCTCGGATCTTGTTATTCGCTAGTTCTTCCGCTTTTTCTCTTAGTCGGTAAATATCTTTCTGTCTTAGAAATAGGGCTTTTGCTCGGCTCACCCTCCGGTCACCGATGTTCGGTAGACAGGCAATTTCTTTACTCTACGTCTCACGACACTTTCCCACTTTCTTTTTTTTTTTAAATAATTTTCCTTTGTCTTTCTGTCGCGGTGAGAAGTCCTCGTCACGGGCAAGTGAATGGATCATCCCTCCGCATTAAACTACTATTTTTAAGGGAGACTAGTGTGGACACGTCAGATTGGGTCCCACTTAAAACGGTTGACCCACCAAAATGGATCCTCTCTTCGACCTTCTGTCGCTTTGTGGGATGAAACTGCCGTGAAACGACAACCCCCAAAGCTTGCCACGTGTACGACATTTTGCTACGTCATCTAGTCTACGTGGCACTGCCTATGACCGTGTGAGTAACCCTAGCCGTCAACCTTACAAAAACTCCTCTCTCTCTCTCTTCTTTCTCTCTCTACATTAGTTCTCTTTTGCTTTATAGACTATCGACTCACCACCCATTAATTAATCATTAATTAGTTTAATTATTTTGAATTGCATTAGAATATACTTCTACGTGCTACAATTTTTTAATTCCCTCCCACTATTATTATATCCTAGCTGACTGCTTAGATAGAATAATAATAAAGTCCTTTTCCATATATCTTTTGCTTTCTATATGACTTTCTATATTAATGTGGATGAACTTTCAAACGGAGATTGATATGGATACCAAAAGAAAGATTACACCTCGTTCATTTCACCGATTTGAGTTTTTAATTCTATATTTATACAGTAAAAAATTCTTAAAAAATATCACATTTAATTTTTTTTATTACAGTAAAAAATTCTCACAAAATATCACATCTCAATTTTCAAGCCTCGTTCATTACAAAAAAAAAAAATGAAAGGCCATTTACAATTAATATGCAATGGGATTTTTTATTTTTATTTTTATTTTTATTTTTTTGGTTACTCTACTTTTATTTTATGTTTTTTAATTTGTAATGTCAAGTTGAAGTTGTTGATTACGGATCTGTAATCATGTCTAGTGTCTAATTAATCTTTGTTTAAGATAATTTATAAATCTATTGATTCTTCTAATGTCATAAAATGTAAATCTATATTGATTTTTCTTTTAAATGTTGATTGATGGTATAATTTATGCCTAGTATGACACATTCTAATAATTAATTCGTGGTTTTGTATTTTATATATAAAACTTATTTAAAAGAAAATATATATATACATACATATATATATATATATATACACACACATAAACTTATGCGTAGCCCCTATGCAATGTATAGTGCTATTATATTGTTTGCAGCAAAGACTAATGGGTCATCTTAATTGCAGGCTTGATCTAGTTCTTTCTTGTTGGACTCTCCACATTAGTTAATCACCTAATATAATATTGATGAATAATTTTTTATTAATATTTGTAAACAGCTAAGAAGAAATATTATATGGCACTCGGATTATTTTATTTTATAGCAAATTGAAAAATATTAAAAAAATATTCAAGTAAGAATAATGGAAAAAAAAAAAAGCAAACTTCATAGATTGTGGTGTTCAAGAAAACAACCAAAACCTAAACGAATCACCCAATATTTGACAAGCTGGCAAGCAAACCATGTGGACCCAAAACCCTAACGCAATCTTTAGGACACCATTTACTATAAATTAGAAAATAATGTATAGATATAGAATATGAAGTTTTCATGTAAGCAATGTTAAAGCCCCCAATCTACTTATTAGATAAGTGTTTTAAAACGAACCCTAATAGATTAAACGAACCCTAATAGAATATATACACTATTATAACTAATTAACGAGAACTTTTATATATATATATATAGGATACTATTTATTAGATTGTTCTTCTTCCATCTTTTCTCAAGATGTGTTTAATATTAGATACTTCACTATGAATTGTTTGTCTGGTAGTGACGAGCTTGTTCATCAACTTAAAATCAACAGTTTTTGTTCCGTCCGACCAAGTCGTTTACAAAACGAGAGTGACTGATCACCTAGCCAATGACAGAGAAAACATCAGTTAACAAGTCCATGCATTATGAAAAACCGACTGAAAATTGATCGCGCAAAAACGACCATCAATCGTTTTTGCGCGATCAATTTTCAGTCGGTTTTTCATAATGCATGGACTTGATAACAACCACTTGAATCTCACTAAATATAGGAGTTTTTCTTTGGGGGGGAGAAAATGAATTTTTGTTGTTTGTGATCCTAAAATACTTGCCAATTGAAGAGCAGTAGGAAATATTTAGATGAATTGTTTATTTTCTATAACCCCCTATTTTAAAAACTGCCTACTTCTTATACTATTATGGCTATGTATATTGTTTTAAAGTCAATTGTTTGTGGTACCCCTTCTGTCATTTGTGCATATTCAAATATGGATTATTATCATAAAATTGCAATCTTTATGATAAAAAAAAAATTTACATCTCGTGTTATTTCATTATTATAAAGCTATAATGTTGTAATTGTTATTCCATTTGTTTTTTTATTACCATTTGAAGGAAAACATACCACTGAGTACATGTGTGAAAGTATCTAAGGTGGTTTCGGGTCAGATCTCCAATTTAAATCCAATATAAGATTCGCTACGAGATAGTCTTAGATACTCCAATCATGAATATGATCTTCGTGCTCCAAGTAACGATCCTCCACGTTCACGATCATCACCGCGTCCTTGATTGCTCATGGTGTGCGTGGTTATTACAAAGGCAAAACCCGAACAACCACAATAAATCCACAACTCAAGAACCTATGGAAGACTAGGAGAGAAAGAAAGAACTGAGAGAATTTCAACGTATTTTAATCATGCTCTATGATTTGTGCCTTGTTATCTAGCTATTTATAACCACACCTATCATAAAGGAAGCAAGCACAAAGTATGAAAAGTATCTCTCTTATTATTTATCGGAGAGTAAGTTATCAAATTATTCAATCCTTCAAGATATTGGAAATACTTCATAATATTTTCAATGGAATACTTTCCTTTTCATGGCTCGTGAATTTTATCCAAATAAAATTTAGGCGTTGACTTTTAGACTATGCACCATTATGTGCGTCTCAAAGTGTAATATTGTTGATTATTAGGGTTAAAACTA